GAAACAGTAGCCTAACGCTGTGCCTTTGTCGTGCTGATCAATGTTGCTTTAGAAACAGATTGGAAACAGTTCACAACACAACGTTGAGATTTTCACGTCTGTACAACAGTAATACCGCGTTGCATAAGAAACATGTCGTGCGCTGCAGTTGCGCAACATTTAAATTATGCCGTCTAGCAAACGTTGTGCCTTCAACCTTTTTCCGACTTTTAGCGCACGGTTTCCTAGGCAGCATAGAATTCGAAACAATAGCCTAACGCTGTACCTTTGTCGTGCCGATCAATGTTGCATCAGAAACAAATTGGAAACAGTTAACTACACATCGTTGCGATTTTCACGTCTGTACTACACTGATATCACGTTGCTTAAGCAACATGTCGCGCGCTGCAGTTGCGCAACATCTAAATTATGCCGCCTAGAAAACGTTGTTCCTTCAAACTTTTTCCAAGTTTTAGCACACGGTTTCCTAGGCAGCATAGAATTCGAAACAGTAGCCTAACGCTGTGCCTTTGTCGTGCCGATCAATGTTGCTTTAGAAACAGATTGGAAACAGTTCACAACACAACGTTGAGATTTTCACGTCTGTACAACAGTAATACCGCGTTGCATAAGAAACATGTCGTGCGCTGCAGTTGCGCAACATTTAAATTATGCCGTCTAGCAAACGTTGTGCCTTCAACCTTTTTCCGACTTTTTTGCACACGGTTTCCTACGCAGCATGGAATTCGAAACAGTAGCCTAACGCTGTGCCTTTGTCGTGCCGGTCAATGTTGCATCAGAAACAGATTGGAAACAGTTAACTACACAACGTTGCGATTTTCACGTCTGTACTACACTGATATCACGTTGTTTAAGAAACATGTCGCGCGCTGCAGTCGCGCAACATTTAAATTATGCCGCTTAGAAAACGTTGTACCTTCAACCTTTTTCCAAGTTTTAGCACACGGTTTCCTAGGCAGCATAGAATTCGAAACAATAGCCTAACGCTGTACCTTTGTCGTGCCGATCAATGTTGCATCAGAAACAGATTGGAAACAGTTAACTACACAACGTTGCGATTTTCACGTCTGTACTACACTGATATCACGTTGTTTAAGAAACATGTCGCGCGCTGCAGTTGCGCAACATTTAAATTATGCCGCTTAGAAAACGTTGTACCTTCAACCTTTTTCCAAGTTTTAGCACACGGTTTCCTAGGCAGCATAGAATTCGAAACAATAGCCTAACGCTGTACCTTTGTCGTGCCGATCAATGTTGCATCAGAAACAGATTGGAAACAGTTAACTACACAACGTTGCGATTTTCACGTCTGTACTACACTGATATCACGTTGTTTAAGAAACATGTCGCGCGCTGCAGTCGCGCAACATTTAAATTATGCCGCTTAGAAAACGTTGTACCTTCAACCTTTTTCCAAGTTTTAGCACACAATTTCCTAGGCAGCATAGAATTCGAAACAATAGCCTAACGCTGTACCTTTGTCGTGCCGGTCAATGTTGCATCAGAAACAGATTGGAAACAGTTAACTACACAACGTTGCGATTTTCACGTCTGTACTACACTGATATCACGTTGTTTAAGAAACATGTCGCGCGCTGCAGTTGCGCAACATTTAAATTATGTCGTCTAGCAAACGTTGTACCTTCAACCTTTTTCCAAGTTTTAGCACACGGTTTCCTAGGCAGCATAGAATTCGAAACAATAGCCTAACGCTGTACCTTTGTCGTGCCGATCAATGTTGCATCAGAAACAAATTGGAAACAGTTAACTACACATCGTTGCGATTTTCACGTCTGTACTACACTGATATCACGTTGCTTAAGCAACATGTCGCGCGCTGCAGTTGCGCAACATCTAAATTATGCCGCCTAGAAAACGTTGTTCCTTCAAACTTTTTCCGACTTTTTTGCACACGGTTTCCTACGCAGCATGGAATTCGAAACAGTAGCCTAACGCTGTGCCTTTGTCGTGCCGGTCAATGTTGCATCAGAAACAGATTGGAAACAGTTAACTACACAACGTTGCGATTTTCACGTCTGTACTAACTGATACCACGTTGTTTAAGAAACATGTCGCGCGCTGCAGTCGCGCAACATTTAAATTATGCCGCTTAGAAAACGTTGTACCTTCAACCTTTTTACGCATTTAGCACACGGTTTCCTAGGCAGCATGGAATTCGAAACAGTAGCCTAACGCTGTGCCTTTGTCGTGCCGATCAATGTTGCATCAGAAACAGATTGGAAACAGTTAACTACACAACGTTGCGATTTTCACGTCTGTACTACACTGATACTACGTTGCTTAAGCAACATGTCGCGCGCTGCAGTCGCGCAACATTTAAATTATGCCACCTAGAAAACGTTGTACCTTCAACCTTTTTCCGACATTTAGCACACGGTTTCGTAGGCAGCATGGAATTCGAAACAGTAGCCTAACGCTGTGCCTTTGTCGTGCCGATCAGTGTTGCATCAGAAACAGATTGGAAACAGTTAACTACGCAACGTTGCGATTTTCACCTCTGTACTACACTGATACCACGTTGCTTAAGCAACATGTCGCGCGCTGCAGTCACGCAACATTTAAATTATGCCGTCTAGAAAACGTTGTACCTTCAACCTTTTCCCGACTTTTAGAAAACGGTTTCCTAGGCAGCGTGGAATTCGAAACAGTAGTCTAACGCTGCGCCTTTATCGTGCCAATCAATATTGCGTCAGAAACAGATTGGATACAGTTCACTACACAACGTTGCGATGTTTGCGTCTGTACAACAGTAATACCACCTTGCATAATAAACATATTGTGCGCTGTAGTTGCGCAACATTTAAATTATGCCGCCTAGCAAACGTTGTACCTTCAACCTTTTTTTACCTTTAGTACACGGTTTCCTAGGCAGCATGAAATTTGAAACAGTAGCCTAACGCTGTGCCTTGTTGTGCCGATCAATGTTGCTTCAGAAACATATTGGAAGCAGTTTACTACACAACGTTGCGATTTTCGCGTTTGTACTACACTGATACCACGTTGCTTAAGCAACATGTCGCGCGCTGCAGTTGCGCAACATTTAAATTATGCCGCCTAGCAAACGTTGTACCTTCAGCCTTTTCCGACTTTTAATACACAGTTCCCCAGGCAGCATGGCGTTCGAAACAGTAGCGTAACGCTGCGTGTTTGTCGTGCCAATCACTGTTGTGTGAGAAACATATTGGGGACTGTTGCGCAAAATAGCCCAACACTCCCACAACATTCGGAACATTCTCGCAACATATCTACAACATATCAATGTTACTTGGGATATGAGACAAATACATATGCGTACCATTAAATGATGTTCACATGAAAACAGATACGCACATCCTTTATCTTTATCAGTCAACGAACATGCATACCAGGGCCAAACATACATTTTTATTGGCATTATATTATCACTTTGAATTCACCACAATTTGAACATATGCACAACATATTTACAAAACTTAGAGCAACAAATTTTGTGTTCTTTGCTATCAAATAAGCATTTGTTTCGAAAATATGTGCTGTCGTATTGCCAGTGCAATATCAAACAACATAACAAGGGAAACAATTATATAATTCTGAGTAGATGTCACACTTAAAATAGATAAGTAATGAATACAACTGTGACTACATCACACAAAAAATGTGCAGCAATCTTATTTTGCACCGCATTGCCATGTCAAATTGTGCAGTTAACCCTTTCATTGGCAACTTTTCTGAAAACAATAGAAAAAAACTACTTTTTGCTTTCTGCTATACAAACATATTAAAAATCACTGAAAATTTAATACTTTTAGACAATATGTAAAAAACGTTCAAATGATTCTTTAAAAACGCAAAGACACAGCATCAGATTAAGAAATATTTTTCTAGAGCTAAGTATGGAAATGAAAACAAAAATACCGTGAAATATCAAACATCTGCCATTCCACAAGTGCCCACCCCTCTATCTTTAACATTTGGAAAATGCATAAAGGATATATCTTAACATATTCATAACCTAAGAAGTTTTCGAGAACATGATAGCGCTTTTGACAAGGACAAGAGGGAGGAACAGACAACGGAGCATGCAGACTTCAACTGTTTAATTTTCAGAAAACGACATCTATATAAGCTCTGTGCCAACGTGCCAAACAACTAATACCATACGCTGAAGCTGCTCTAAGGAATTGTATTTTGATAATTTGGAGAGGTTCCTGCAAGCAGTTTCGGCATATGGTATTGGTTGAGTGGCGCGTTGGCGCACAGCTTAGATAGATGTCGTTTTCTGAGAATTAAACAACTGAACTTTGTGGACTGTGTTGCCTGTTCTTCCCTCTTGCCCTCGTCGAAAGCGCTACCTTGTTCTCAAAGATTTATCAGCAACTCATCCAACAGTCAACACCGACCTAAGAAGTGCCCATCCCCCAGTTTTACCATGATTATCTCCAAATTCTGAGCAGGCACTTGCTCGGGATTTTTCAGTAGTTAATATTGCTCATTCTCCATGATATTGTACCAAGCAGAGGTTATTGCAGAAGTGCACGTCACTTCCCACTTGGATGAATAACAAAGAATTCTTGAACATGTTCATTATCGTAACATTTGTCATCGCCATTCAGTTTGAAAGTTGCACATATTTTCCAACCCCGCATGAACAGAAAATGGCAGATGTTAGCATCACAAAGTTTGCAGCTAAACATAAAAATGTTTGTGACAACATTCTGGTGGGAATTCCGTTTCCCTTGAGCTCGGTTAAAAATCAAGAAGTTATTTAGGTGGGAAGTATACTTCCAGCAGTCCAAGAAAGGGTTCAAAAATGCAAAATGCAGAAGAGAAAAAAAAATGTAGAGCATAACTTTATGGTTTATCCTCAATAACTAGTTACAACATGAACACACAAGAGGCCACTTTTGCTATGAACAGAAACATGACGCGTGGTCAAGAAAGATCTGGCCATTAGTCCACTTCATTACATTTGAACACACACACACAAAAAAAAAATTGTTCTAGTCTCGCTCCAGCGTGTTTGGGAGGTGGCAGACATACCTCTGTTCTCTACCAAAATCAATTAACAAACAAGCACCGCGCATGTCCTCGGGTAAGACGGCTACTACAGAGTGTCCTGGTCTGCTTGTCTTCACAATATAAAATGGGAAGACTGAGTTCTGCACTTTCAGCTCCTCAAGTGGCGTGCACAGGAGGATGCAGCGCTCCACGTTCACGTCATCTACATGGAGAGCCCTCAAAATCACTACAACACTGCCATCATGGCAAGAAATTACTGTAGAATTGCTTTTTTTTGCCCTCCTGTACTGCGTGGTCTCATACACCTGGGAGTTCACAATGAAGCGCTCGTGCTTCAACGCACCTGAAGGACAAAAGCCAACTCTGGCAGTCATTGCTGCAGTTTCTGCAGGGGAAAACCTTTGCACTGGCGTGCCCCTCCCCAGGAGACATACTCCTTTAACATGTGTGGCTCTCCTGAGGTGCTCGTATCCTAAGACGCGCTGACACTTTAGCCTTACCGCCGCCGGGAGAAAGTCTGCCGCCAGCAGGGTCTCCAATTCCTGCCGCATGACCACCCGCTCTACAATTTGTTCCGGCACTCCTTTTGCAGCAGTTACTTGCTTCAGCAAGCGGCCATTGCCGTCCTCAAACCGGAAGGCCGAGTTGGCCCACAAGGACCCCATGCGCCGCACTGTAGAGGAGAGGTGTGTCAACTGATGCACGTTGAACGTCATGGCAGTCTCCCCATACAGTCCGGGCATCTGGCCAACGAACTGTGTCAGCAAGGTCTCTGAAAATGTATGGTATGGAATGAAACATAAGAGAAACAAGCCCAACAACGATTGCTTATTTCCATTTTCACAACAGCTAGCTATAAACCCGATACGGTTGACTCCCGATAATTTAGGACAGACGGCAGTTTATGGCTTTTTATTGTTTCAAAGCAGCTGTGATAATACTGGCTCGTAAACACGTAATATAGAAGCAGTCTTGGGCAGTGAGTAGTTACTAGTAGCGCGTTACCGGTAACTAGTTATTTTTTAGTAACTTGTAACTGTAACTAGTTACTTTTCAGTTAGAGGAACTTGTAGCTGTAACACTTATTTTTTTGCACAGTAACTGTAACAGCAAATACCTTTTTTTTATATAAAAAAAATGTTGAACAGCAACACTCGTTAAGGTGATTTCTTGAAACTTTTTCTACGTCTTGAGGTTATTAGATTACGTACATGCACCGCAGTCAAACGAAGATAAAAAAAAGAAAGAAAAAGAAACTGGCGATCAGACCTCCGCCGTGGAGGGAGCTGGCCTACCCTCGTAAAAAAAGACCAACACAGAGGGGCATACCGAGAATGGGGCACCCATAGTGACATCGGGAAAGAAAGGAAGCTGGCACCCACAGTGGTTGAGTACAGAAACATGTCTTCTTCATCTATGCCGACTCACTCTCTACGCGTGGGTGAACATCTGGATTGTGCGGCAATCTGGGGTCTTCATGTGGAGTCTTTTACTCTTAGTCATGTCTCGTTTATCCCAAACTTTCTGCTTTCGTGTCTAGAAAAAAACTGTCTTGTTGACAACTTTCGTGTTGTACACTCCACACCCCAAATAGGTCTTCTCTTCTTGACGAAGGAAGTGCACGGCGCTGCCTTTTTTTTTTTTTTTCATTCAGAGGATTAGAGTTTCCTGTCCCCTTAATTTTCAGTGAAAGTCTCCATGTGGTGCAGAAAGCGAACAGTGTTTCAATTAATTTATTCATTTTTGTTGTGTTTTCTTCAGAATGATTGCCTTTTTTTTTACCCTGAGCCATTTTGACTACCCACATGCCTTCCTACGTTTCTATTGAATAAACTCTATCATTTGGTTTGTAATCTATTACTTACTGTTTTAGACAGTAATAGAAAAGTAAAAATGTTACTTTTTCACAGTAACTGTAACAGGTTACTTTTGGAAGCTCAGTAACTGTAAAAAGAGTTACTTTTTGGCAGAGGTAACTGCAACCCTAACAGTTACTTTTTTGGCTTAGGTAACTAAACTAACAGTTAATTTTTACTGGTAACGTGCCCATGACCGTATAGAAGTAACCATTGCACACATTATTTTCTTAAAAAGGTCGAGAATCTCAGACACGATCCTTTCATAATGATACTGCCATTTCTTCCAATAAATATTGCTCGTCAGAATGGGTTCAAGAATTGTTCAGTTGTGGCAAGAGTCCGAGACAAAGAAAGATGACTTATAGCCACCCTTTCCCTGAAAGAGTACTTGCAAGGACCAGTTGCAGAAATTACAAGAAGTCTGCTGCCTATGGTTAACTGCATAATCCAAGCTTTTTGAAACGAGGGCCGTATATGCGATGCTCCACGCAGGGCATGTTCACGTTTAACGAAAGACGAGCAGAACCAGCTTCTTCTTGCTGCTGTGACTGTTAATCCTTTTCAGTCACGCATGAAGTCCCAGAGACAGTGGGCATAACCGTCTCCGACCACGCGGTGAAGCACGGGTTTGCTGTATTGCCGATCCTCTGCCCAGAAGCAGCTTATCAACGAAAACAAAAAGCGCGCCCTCCTTTGCTTCGCAGTCGATCACAGAACGTGGACTGCGGACAGGTGATCTTGACCGACGCATCTATGTTTACGACTCGCTATAACCAGCAGCTTCTAGTGTGGCGAAGCGACTACCACCAGTAATAAACTAGTTCCTTTCAAGACCTCTATTTCTAGCTAAAACGGCACTAGATTTTATTGTTTCTTCAATTAATAAGTAGGCAATTTGGTCTTTTTACAGATACCACCCTCATCTTGTGTGGCAAGTCGCCCCTAGTGGCAGCAGTCAATGTCTGGGGTGCTATTTCTCGAGAGGGGCTTGGGACACTGTTTAATGTTTAGGATTGGGGGAATAATGACGTGTCACAGTTACTGTGACATAGTTGACTACGTCAAGATTCCCTACATGCTCGCGGACCCAATCCCCGACACGAACTTCATGCTTCAACACGATTTGTGTCCCGTTCACACGTCTCACAAAGTCCGCGACCTCCTGGAAGGTCGCTAAATCAACGTGCTCCCACTGCCCTTGAAGGGTGCCGACCTCAACATAAGTGAACTTGTTTGGAGGCGCATAAAGATAGCGATGGTGCGGTGTCCTCTTTACACGGCCACTGCCAACGAACTGTGGCGTGTTGTCCACGAGGAGTGGGAGAAGCTCCGGAACGAACCAGACTATTGGCAAGGTCTGATTCCTTAACATCACTGATAAGAGCAGTGGTCGATGACAATGGGGCGATGACACATTATTAGGGTTGCTGCCAAGATTTTAGCCGCCTTAATAGAATCATTATGTTAATGGATCACCCAAACTAAAAAGGTTAACCTGAACATATTTTCTTCCTCGAGAGCGAGCTTTATTTCTTACTTAAGATATTTCATTCGCAGGAAGTTGGAAATTCAAACACTCCATTAAGTTTTCTACATTATTTGAAGTGTTATTGGTTAGTTTGTGTACAATATATGACTTTCGTGAAAAAATGTGTTTGTATCGATGCTATCGTGCAAATATAATCGTTTCTAATGGTCCAGTTTTTGTATTAAATTCAATGAATACTTTTTTGTAACGACTCAGAGAAGGAGTTGTAAATAAATAAGTAAATGTTTCACCACAGACCATTAACAAATCTAGTCCTAAATGCTTAAAAGCCTTCAACATCTGTCTGTTTGGTTAATAAAAGTAATCTACCAGATATGTAACAACCATCGGCAACGATTTGCTTAGTTGGGTATGTTCCCCTCATTGGTTGTTTGACTGGTTCATTTCCGAGTCAGGGAATCTACGTGCTGAAAGAGGCACCCACAAAAGCTTGTAAAGCAAACATCAGCAAGTGCTGTTGCAGCATCTGCTTTGCACCTAGCAGATGACAGGGAAAGATTTAAATCACACTCTCCTACCCTCTGCAGCCTCACTGCACAGGGTGGGCGGGGGTAGGCGCAGCTTTTATGAGTGCACCTGCCATGTGGAGCTGGGGGTACAGAACGGCCATGGCTTCCATGTTATAGCTAACAGAGTCCGTGATAGTACAGCAATATACTAAACAGTAAAATGGATAGGTGGACTAGTTAGTACATATTTAACTTGTGGAGCGCCTAAAAAACGAGGACACGAGGAAGACGAGACAGGACCGAGTGCTAACTTACAACTGAGCGTTTATTGAAAAACACTATTTGTACACAAATTCAGGATCGCGACACAAAAAGGAAAACTCGTTCTCAGTTAAGTGTACTGACAGTGCACTCACGCAGCCTATCCTCACCCTTTAAAGGGGTACTCCGCCGATTTTTGAGCTACCTCAACTAACTATATTTTCTGACTCCCCGGCCTTTGCCCTTCCTGGTATGCTATTTTGTATCGGTAAATTCATAATAGTTATTTCGAAATCGGCAAATGAAAATGATGCAAAAAACAAACATTCAAATATACCCGCCCTTTTCAGGGCCGTGACGTCAGTGGAAGGTTAGCTTGCCAGTCGGGCGAGCAGTCTAAAAAATAGAATATGCCAATCATTTGTTCCGTGCTGGAGCGCGGGGACTGGAGCGAGCTTCCAAAGCATTCATTTGACACCATGAAACTGCTTCGAATCAGTTGGGAACGAATTCTACAGTCCAAAGAGTGAACCCCTGCACTTCCAATGACGCCACTTTTTCATTGTTGCCAGTAGAGACTTTCAGTTTGAAAAACACGGTGAGGACAAAAATTGTAAATTCAATAACTTCGTGAAAAAAAATTATTTTGACCTAATATTTGGGATACTATTTTGGCGATGTTGTTTGGCGAGTTTAGCAAAATTTCAAGCAAATCGGAGACCATGAAGAAATCGGCGGAGTACCCCTTCAATGCAGTAGACCCAAACAATTCTCTCTCCAGTTTGGTTTTCTAGTTTTCCAACTATTTTTGTTTTGTCAAGATTATGCGCACACGGACACCTATCACAGTGAATTGCTCGATTACCCGACGGGGAACGTCTAACAGATAGGGCGTGCTCGCGTGCCCTATCGTTCAAGCACCTCCCCGTTTGCCCTACATACACTTTTCCGCAAGTCATAGGTATTTCGTAAACAACTGACGTTGCGCAGGCGTGTTTCTTGGCGCAAGCCTCACTTTTCCCTTTTTTGTTGTTGACTCTTCAGCAGAAACTGGACAGTTTTGACGGCGCAGAAAACACCACAAGCACCTCGAAGTTTGCGGCAACTCTTTTTAGGCCGTGGGACAGCCCGTGGACGTAGGGGAATACCACGGGTCTTGTCTTTTTCCTCTGGTCGGCCGCTTCCCCTCCGTTTCTTTTTTTAAGCTTTGAAACCAGGGTTTCCGCAACTTCTCTCAAAAAGTGCTCTGGATGGCCCGCCGTTTTAAAACCACCAAAATATGGTGTCAAAACGGCTGCAGTTCTTGGATTTAAACTTGCACTTCGACAAGGACCACGTATGCTGGAAGCACCAGCCACGCTCGAAGAAAGGCATCTTGCCTTTTTCGTCTGCCTACTCCAAGTTAGTCAAACGAGAAATTGTGTCGTCGTTGATGAGAGCCTCTCTAGACAAGTCGTTCAAGCCTAACATGGGCGAAAGCCTTTTTGATCAGGTGCGACGCCTTAAAACGATGGGCTATCCAGAGCATTTCTTGAAAGAAGTTGCCGAAACCCTGGTTTCAAAGCTTAAAAAAAGAAACGGAGGGAAAGCGTCGGACCAGAGAAAAAAGGCAAGACCCGTGGTAATACCCTACGTCCACAGGCTGTCCCACGACCTAAAAAGAGTCGCGCACACTTCGAGGTGCTTGTGGTGTTTTCGGCGCCGTCAAAACTGTCCAGTCTCTGCTCAAGAGTCAACAAAAAAAAAGGAAAAAGTGAGGCTTGTGCCAAGAAACACGCCGCGCAGCACACTGAATGCGCAACGTCAGTTGTTTACGAAATGCCTATGACTTGCAGAAAAGCGTATATAGGGCAAACGGGGAGGTGCTTGAACGATAGGGCACGCGAGCACGCCCTATTTGTTAGAAGTTTCCCGTCAGGTAATCTAGCAATTCACTGTGATAGGTCTCTGTGTGCGCCTAATCTTGACAAAACAAAAATAGTTAGAAAACTAAAAAACAAAACAGAGAGATTTGTTTCAGGCCTACTGCATTAGAGTAAAGGGCGCATCAGTGCACTTAACTGAGGAAGAGTTTTCCTTTTTGTGTCGGGAGCCTGAATTTGTGTACAAATAGTGTTTTTCAATAAACGTTCTCGTCTTCCTTGTGTCCTCGTTTTTTAGGCACTTCACAAGTTAAGCATATACTAAACAGTTTGTTTTCCAGACATTGTAGTTTAAATAAAACAGGTAGCCAATAATCCCATGCCACTATTTGCTTGCATACGCTCCTTTCAGAACAGATAAACTAAACATTTAAAAATATATTTACCGGCACGTCGGATCTGTGATTCGTTGATCTCTGGCAGCAACAGCAGGAAAATGGCTTCCGCAAGCCGGCAGAGATGTCTCCAATACCTCGGAGGTAGGATGTCCAGCGTGCACAGCAGGACGTAGAAAAGGAGCCAGTGTCTCCACTCACTTGCCTTCCAGAAGGCGTGGTCCTGGAGGGACCTTGGCAATCGTGTGAAACAATGCGGTGGTTTGATGCAAAGCAGGCGCTCGTTGATTGCCGTCAGCTGGTGAGGTTTTCCTGAAAACAGGAATTGTCCAACATTTTTATTTACTATAATTGAAGATCACTCATTGCAATGAAAACATTCATATTTGAATTAGGCCAGCAAATGATATACAAGCAGAGTGGTTGTTTGGGCGAGTTGGTTTGACATCTTATGCAATCTTGTGCACAGCAAGGACAAGGACAAAAGGGGAGAACAAGGACACAATAAGGCGCCTTGTTGTGTCCTTGTTTTCCCCTTTTGTCCTCGTCTTTGCTGCACACAAGATTGCATAAGATATGCAAGTTTTTGGTGGTTAAGCGCAGTTCTTAATGTAGCGAGAAAAAACAAAATTAAAAGAGCCGCCTGCGTAGCAATGGTCTTTTCAACCAGGTGTGATGCTTGTGTCTTTTCTCCCAAGCACTTTATCCAGGTTATAATTTGAATTTCACTCACTAATACCTGATAATGTGCTTGGGAAGCACCTTGGATGTGGGATGGTTAGCAGTGTTGCTGTTATGTTTTGACGCTATTAGTGTGACATACAACAGTAGCAATAAAAGCTGGTTCGCACAGTTGCGACCGCCTACGAGTGCGACCACTTGTGACGGCTTACGAGATGCCGCTACCTAGCTTCAGCCCTTGAACTATACGAAGCACGGAAACATACCGCCATGTTTTTAAAGCGGTAGCTTTATAGGATGACCATGCTCAACGTTGTGTAATACCTTCACTCGTGAGTGAAATAACATTGCGCCCTGCACCTAATGTGTTCGGCGACTGTAATCAGTGGGCATATCCTCCCAAGTTCTCCATCCATTGCGCGGACTATAAAAGCTGGGGGAAGGGGGAGGGGGCTCATGCAACACCACCTCTAAGGAGGCAGGCAAAGTAAAGGCGGGAGAAAGCCGGAAAGGGACAGCGAAATCATGTGGCGTGCAGTCGGCCAGTGAGCGTACAGAGCTCGTCATGTTTTTCTCAGCAGGCCGAAAAATCTTTGCCACATGCCGACGTGACCAGAAGGCTCCTCGCACTGCCCCGGTCCTCCTCACAGTTGTTGACAGTGGTGTAATCAGCAGGTATAGAAAGAGCTCGATGGGTCAAGCAGCAGAGCATGCCGAGGGCAACAAATGCACGAACGGCACCAGCAACAGCAGCTTTTTGTTTTCATTAACAGTGTCTCTGTAAAGCTACCGCATTTCATCGGGTTTGGTCAAATATGCAACGGCGCCGTGTTGTTTGCAGACCGGTGGCGTCGCTGCGTTTCCATAGGAGCTAAGCCTTTCTCATTCTTTACTTTTTCCTCAGGTAAGTTTGCTCTTTGAAAATTTTACAAAAAAAATGCACCATCTGTGGGCAACGCTGCACAAAGTCGTAGCGCGATAGGTTAAGAAACCAAATTTTCCGGTCAATTTAAAGAGCCTGGCGTCTCCTTGTTTCACCCTGTAACATGGTGCTGGAAAAACAAATTTAGTAAATATATAGTGACATTTAATGGGTTCCAATGCCATAGTTACCTCAAAATTTATTTTTACCATGTCCTGAACCCCTTTAACATACTGCAGTGATTGCAAAAAATGCGGAAAGCAACAGAGAGGCATTTAAAATAGTGAGAATGATGCATACCAATGTAGAAAGCCATGGTGGAGTTCGACGATGCAATCAGGGTCTCTGTGACCTGCCTCGTCACACCCAGCAAGGCACAGTGCATGTAATCAACTGTGTATACCCAGACAGGATCGAAATTTGGGACAGTGGCCAGTGATGAAGGTCCCTTCACCCCTTGCACGGCAACCCTGAACTGCCCTGCCAGTTCTGTGTTTCTCAGCACCATGGCAGCTGTTCGTTCAGGAGCTGGTTCCTGATCGTCTTCGTCATGCGCATACCGAATACATCCTGCAAGGAAATACCATTCATGAACAATTTAATAGTAACCTCTGAAACCTTGCATAAGTATGAAATACTATTGCAAGTATGCAAATGTTACTTTACAAAGCACAACACTCATCCCGAAGACAGCCAACTCCTTTAGAAGTGACATACTGACCTCCTTCGTGTTTTCCCTTGATGAGGCACCAGGGGCAACCAAAGTAGCCAGCATAAGTCACGTGGTTCTGGACTGCAGCACGAGCAGGAGCGTCAGCTGTGCAGCCGATGATCTGCACCCTTGAGGAGTAGTCTTTACCCTCGTAGCTCCACTCAATGGGTGGCACAGATACTACACTTTCAGCAAACGTCGACATGAATACCGACATGTTCGGATGGTTCCTTCCGAACCACAGACCTGCTAATGTGGTGCTCGTAAATCTTCTTTGCGGTGGTAGCTCACTGATACCGAATTGGATTAGCCAAATCGACGAACGTGACGACTTGAGCAATGGGCTATCGTCCGTATTGACGATCAGTGTCAGGTCTCCCTTTTTGATCACGCCATCCTGTCTTAGGCACCTGTAGTTCGATGCAGTCGTCACATCCGTTACTTCTGGCAAAGACAAGGACTCTTCGATCTTCTCCATGTTTTCACTCAGCTCTTTCTTCTCCTTCGAAATGACGTGCTTGAGCTGCTCGCTAACGTCTAAAATCGTAAAGTATGATCCAGCCTTCAGGACCATCTCCTGATTATAAGAAAGGTTGCACGCAGCACAGGCCAACCCTGGAGCAGTAGCACTGCTTTCGAGCAGTCTGGTGCAGTTTTCGCAGTACAGGTACTTTCTGGCTACAGCAGACGTCCTCGAGCACCACAGCTTCCGGAACATGTACTTGCTCCGTGGCAGAACATGAGTCGTCGCTCCATACAGCATGTCAACGAACTCTAGGATATGCTCAAGCAGAGTCCAGGTAACTCTGTGGGCGCTTGCTATGGACAACAACATAGCGACGGCGGCCGCTTTGGTTGTTGTAGAGTGCGGCAGAGTGGCGCTGCCAAACTCCGCGAGGCAGCGTTGAAGAAGACCATCGTCATCCAGCAGAAATGAAGCGGAACGGGTGCCTTCTTTCGCGTTACCACTCTCCCCCTCAGTGCTCCCCTCGGTATCACTCACATCATTTACATCCGAAGGCGATTCGTGAGAGTCGCCGCTCAAGTCGGCGGCCCAGCTCGGTTCTTCAGGCTCTTCGTCAGATGCGAACCATACGATGAGCTCCTACTGGAGCTACTCGACGAAACAGGAGGCTCGTCACTCTGTCCGGGACCGGCAGGTAGCGGTGGTGGTTCACTGGAGCTACCCGAGGAAATGAGGGGCTCGTCACTGTGTTCGGGACTCGCAGGTAGCGGTGGTGATTCGCTAGCTGCCTGTCGATTCGACGCCGAGTTTTGCAACTCAGAGTCCCGCTTGTTTTTCTCATGCAGACATTGCGTCGATCGAGAAAGTACAAAGTCTTCATCACAATATAGGTACCGTTTTCTTCGTTTCGGAGTCCTAGGGCTCGCCATGTTCGCCGCCGGCGACCACGGGGGATAGAACCAAAACGATAAGACCCTCTGGTTTATTGTGGACACGTCAGTTGTAGAATAGGTAGTCGCAGAGCGCAACACGTGAATCCCTTCAGCCTTGGCTTCGCTCGGCTACAGATAGAATCGTAAATTAGGATTGTTATTTTCGCACATGAATTAGCTCTACCTAGATTCCTGTTCTAAATATTATTAAAACTAGTAGTCACATCTTGAGCCATGCAAATAATTGTTTCTTTTTCTTTTCTCCTTATTTCATATTAAAACCGAAACTAACAAAGTATTTACTTTTTTTTTTCGGGGTATAGAATTCTACAATTATTGTTTGCTTTATTTTTTTCTTAATAAACCTAAGTACATTTAAAGATAAATTAAAAAAACACTAATGTTGACCAGCCAACGTTGGTTTAGTGTCGGTTTCTATACTTGTTCTTTTATTATTTTTTTTAAGAGAATACTTTTTACTTGCGGGGTTGTTCAACTGTGTTCAGCCTACTGATTATAGTGATTATAAAATTGTGTCCACATTATTAATGTACTAATCGCAGCTTTTGGGTACATATAAAACCGGCTTAAAACCGACTCATTGCCCGAAGCCGTAGGCCCAGAGGCCTACCGCTTTGAGGCAGTTAGAAACCTCGGGATGTAATATTTCGACAACACACACATAGTTTCTAAGTGGAACACAATTGGCGGCCGTAGTTGACGCCTGTTACGCTAGTTCTGCTCAACACTCTCTGAAGTCCGGACTCCGCACTCACGTGCACAGTCCTAACGGCGACTTTGTCTAAGTACCGTGAAGAATTTCTCCAATGACCAAAAACAAGAAGAAAACATACGTATCGGGACACTATGGCCGGCTTGCTCAAAGCAGCGTCTCAGCTCAGACTGCAAGAAAGAAAGCACTGCCAAGACAATCGCGCAAGCTGAGAGGCGCTTCAAATTCAGACTCAAACGTTAGCCTTGGCAATGCTTTCTTTCACCAGTCTCAGCTGAGACGCTGCTGACGCTGCTTCGAGCAAGCCGGCCCAGGGAGTTACGACATTTCGTTGGCCCTCTCAATGCACAGCATAAAACAAATCAGCGAAACGAATGGATTCCAGCGGGGTTCAGCACACAAGTATATATGATGGTGGAAGCTTTTAAGAAAAGGTTATGGAAAGTTTAGTTCACCTGAGTAAAACAAGTAAAATGAAACATCCTAATGTGCTTTGCATGTAAGCCTAAATATTATTTGTGGTCTCTGTGGCGCTCGTTTCGGCCAAATTAGGTCAGTATTATATTAGCCAGTTTATTTCCTTTCCATTCCACCCGTTTTTCAGTCGTAATAAATGAGAGAGTGGCCAAGAATATTCTTGATGACGTCCAGAAAAAAAAAAAAGGCTTAGGAGAAATTTGTTCATAATCAAAAACGTTTGCATTTTTTTTTTTTACTTTTGGGTGTTTTATGTTTCATACTTTCAAATGATTAATCCACCAACTTGGGGCACCCCTGTAGTAAATGTCAGCGCGATACGTTGACGCTCCAAAGACAGTTAAATATCGTGAACACTTAAAATACCTGGTCGGCGGTTTTTTTTTTTTTTTTTTTTTTTTTTGCTTGCGTTAAAGATCCGGCGATTGACAAGGGCGGCGAGTGTTCGCGTTGGACTCAATCAACATGCACGCGATAGCCAATCGAGCACTGGCTCCACATTTTGGCTGATGTTAGGGATAGTTCGAGAGTTAGGCCTAATACTGAAATTCTCGACTCCTTGTTCTCCCGATTTTGAGGCGTTACACGATATTCTGTTGGACGCCAATAGTAATGTCTAATAGAGCGGTAATTAGTTAGGAATAATGCTGTAATACTTAGCTTCTAGTTCTCCCATTTTGGGTGTGCTACACAGGAAATCAATGGTTACAGCATTCAATGTTAGACGCTAACATGCAGTTATCGTATATCTGGTTGAGTGTCTTTCAACTGGTGATCTTTTTTTTTTGTGTGAATTTATTAATTATTAATTTTCTAAAATTTAGGGAATTTAGGGGTTTTTGTGAATTTAAAATGTTCGAAGGGGGGGGGGGGGGGGGTCTCTGCTCTAATGTTCCTGTTAACTGCTCGCCCCTGCACGTGCATATACTGTGGTGCACTCAACGTTACAAATGCACCAGGCTTTGGATGCCAGTGTTGGCATGTCGCGGTGGGGCTTGGTAACCCACAAGGCCTCCTGCGTGTACGCGTTTTCCTGCCGTGAAGCGTGTTTCACATGCAGCGTTTTTGGCCCTAGAGCGGCGCGATTTGTGCCGTTGCGGCGTTCTGGCCAGCACCAGCGGTTGAGCGGCACGAGCGCCGCGACGGCAGAAATCGCACCGCTCTAGGGTCAAAATCGCTGCATGTGAAACTTTCTCTATGTGTTCACGTGCAACATACGTTGCACTTCTAATCGATGTAAACTTTATCTGCAAGTGACCATCATTACCTCGTTACTAAAAAAAAAAAGAGGTGTTTGCGCAGTTTTGCAAAGAAAATGAGTGTGAGTGTGATGTAGTTAGCGAGATTATTGTTACAGATTGCTCAATACTTTATTATTAGGCTCTGCAAGATTGAGTTCTTCGACCCCCCCCCCCCCCCTCCCCCCCCCCCCCCCCCCCCCAACGTGCACAGTTTTCCTACCTATATTTTGAGAAAGGCATTGTAAAGTTTTGTACGCTCCAAAACGAAACTAGTGAATAGCCAGAATAGCCGACGAATCCAAATCCAAGTACAAGCCGGGCTGGTCACTCGTGGGATTGTTTGGATTGTTCCGTAGCTTCGTGAGTCCACGTGGGAGCACCTGCAAGTTGTGTGAACGAGGAAGAATGTACGCTTATATTAGATACGCGGACAAGCAGACGTCTATACTTCCCATCTCATTAATTCAGAGGTTCGAGCCAAAGCATTTAGAGGATTTCGACCCCAAGAAGTCGAAACTTGCCTTCTGGCAGGGCCCTGATGGCGGCGATGGAGGATACTATGACGCTAAGGTTATAATGTTGGGAGGTGAGTAAACAATTCTACCATTTGCTAGAACCACAAATATATATTCAACTTTGGGTTAGGTTTTGTCTCTATTATCTAAAAGAGAACGAGCATTTGGACCAAGAGAAAGGACTAGATGTCATTTCTTTGTTTCACGGCTATCGGGCTTAAATTGAGCGTTCGGAATGGCTCTTTGTGAGGAGAATATGCGATGTTTCTTGATGGAGTGTTAAAAAGAACTGAGTTCAAGCTGGACAAGCGTCCTTCCTCCTCGCTGTGCGAGGACTTTGTCTCGTCGATGGGTGCATGTGCGAAGCGTCGCGATCACAATACAGTTGGCGGTGCAAGGTTTTTCAGGTTCTACAGGTCGGTGCATGTAGGACAGTCATTGCTGTCGCAGGGCTATGAGCACTCACGGTGAAACGTCCCAGCGGATGAGACCTTTCACTTAATTTTCATAGACAAAGTAGGCATCGCAGAAAGGTGTGAATGTGGTACTAACGCTGGCTTCCACGCCAATTGCAACAACAAACCGATGCTGAAGTTTGAGGAGATTGCCTTTTGTGGATCAAAAGATAAAAAAGGAGCACAAAGTTTCTTTATGAGAGCGCGTCCAGTTAGCCCTATTATAATTTTTTTTTATGGTGCCTGTAAGCGAAGATATAAAAGGAAAAAAAAAAGAACTAGAAAAAAAACAATTTTTGGGGGAAATTTAAACAGCGCAAAAGACGAGGGACCAGACAAAGAAGTGACACGGATGCAGCGTTGACTTACAACTGAGTTTATCGATCGCAGTATACCGTGAAATACTGAGTAAGCGCTCACTCAAAATTCGAAGAAAATCGCAAGAATAGGGGATAGGCACCTGTGAGGTCATCAATTTTACATATATATATATACTGTACATATCTTTTCAGGTGTTTCAAATTTTGGAGGTGGGCGCTTAGTGTGGAATGGGCGGATGCACAATATTCTACGGTTTACATGCATTGTCGCGAACAAAGGGAAGAAAAAAGTTGAAGGAGGTAATCAGCTCACATCACCAATAAAAAAAAATAAAAAAAGAGAAGGCTCCTCTACAGAGCCATACAGAGCGTGTGGTAAAAAAAACAAGCGAGTCAAGGAACTAGAAAATTAATTTCTTTGCCAGACAGGGCCACCGAAGGACTGCTGACAGATGTAGTGCCCAACCTCGCTATCTCAACAGCCTCAAGAATTTTTCGTGTCAGCTAGTACCTGTTACGCTTAAAGGGATACTACAACAAAATTTCGGCGCTCATTTTTTGGTCTATATGTGTTCAAAAAAGCAGCATCAGATCGAATATATTAATATCTTGTTAAAAAAGTCACGAAAAGGAATTTTAAAACGAATTAAACGATTAGCAAAGAGCACCTGGTGGATATCGCTAACACCTCGCTTGTAATGCCCGTCTAGGAACCTTGACAGCTAGTGACGGAGGTTGTCTCGTCTCCGGCCACGACGAGAGAAGAGGGGCAGGAGGAACCCCCCTCTTCCCGAGAATGCCTTTTGTGTGTCGCAGAAGTCGCTATTGTCCCCCTACAAGACTATAGAAGATTAACCCGTCACTCAAAATTCGTACAAAAGCAGCCACTTCGGTGGCTGGAACGACTAGGCCATCCTCTCGACGTCAGCCTCGCCGTAGCTTTGCTCGTCTTGAGACGACCTACGTCACGATTGCGTCGGATGTCACGTGGTCTCCGCTGGGCCTTCTCCGAGCGCTTGCCAGAGTGGGCCGTTTATAACGAAAAATACAGCCACCAGGCTCAAAATACGAACGTGCGATTGTCATTTACGGATATTGTGGATCATATTCAACCTATTTTTGAACACGACGGGAATATTTCAAATCTCGTTGAAGTATCCCTTTAACAACCTCACACCGTTGGAAGTCGGGCAGGCAGCCACAGTTGCGGCAATGAATGCCAAGATGACCAGACACGGTAGTGGAGACACTGTAGG